CAAACCCTAACCTTAGCCTCTAGTCGCCCTCGCTGGAGAAGAAGACCCAGCTGCCGCCGCCACGCCGAAGCTACTTTCGATAGCTAAAAGAGGTAAAAATTTCTTTTTTTGCTCGGAATTCAATTTTAAACACCCCCATAACCAAATCAGAGCAAAAGGATCAGTTGATTGGCCGAAAACTGTTGGCAAAGCCCGACGCCGCCGCCGCAGGAAATTTCACAAAATGCCTCTAATGAGGCCCTTCTCGATTCCCATTCGATAAAATTTTTCCACCATTGTGATTACTGCTTCCTTCTCTACAGGTTGACCGGAGCAAAACACCCAACTGCAACGTGAACTGGAGGAGCCGTCGCACCGGAGAGCCCCACCGCCGGTGAGTTTTGATTTTTTGTGTTTTTTTGACCAAGCGAGGCCCCTTAACGTATTTTCTCATAGGGATTGATGCAAAATCGATCGAAAACAGCCGACCCAAGGCGGACTGCCGTCGTGGGCGGCGGTGCCATTACCGGAGCACGGCGGAGCCGCCGTGTTGGAATTTCGAAATTGGCCAAAATGGGCCCTGAGACTAATTTTGGGTTTATTTGAAATATTTGTAGGTACTTATAGCGCATTTTAATTCTCGAAGAAAAATTTAGGGAACCCATGGATCACCAGTAGGCGCAGTCAACAGTTTAGCCTTTCGGGCATCAAGTTGAATAAGAATCCATCATCCTATTTTTTGTTATATAATTGAAGTCTAATTAACAATAAATACGATATTTTGTTACAATTTATAAAATGTACATAATTAATTACAGATTACTAATGGAGTCAGAACTGTAAATTATCTATTGTTGTTCTGTTGATTGTTTTTACAGTTTAAATGCATGATATTACTTTATTGATCGATTTTATAGCTTTAAATGCCTATATGTTTGATTTATGTGATTGCCATTGAATTGGAAAAATAGAGACTAAAAAAAACGGAAAATTATGTGATTAAGTGAATGGCTGAAACGGCAGCCTCACTAGATATCCTAGGAGATGGTGGACGGATCGGGTACAATAAAGAATCCTACCGTGAACGTTGTCTCATACCGGAAGGGGTATCGAGACTTGGTAATTTGGCGCTCATACCGGATGGAGTATGGGGACAGTCTGTTTCACTCTCATACCGAACGGGGTATGGGGACAACCCGTTTCACCCTCATACCGGACGGGGTATTAAAGTTTAGTAGTTTGGCACTCATACTGGACCGAGTATAGGAACAGTTCGCAATTGAGAATGTTAAAGGAAATGGTTCACGCGTAGCGGGGACATCCTTATGAACCCCCATGGATACCAACAGACTGATAAAAAAGAGCAATTGTTGTTTTGATGATTTGAATATGAAAGTATAATATGTGTTATGTTGCTGACTATATATGAAATCATTATATATATAATGTTATTGTTTTTATATATTGTTTTTATAAATCTCACTACAATAAGTGGACGGTAAATGATTTTATTATTGATAAATGAATTTGCTTAATTAAATGCTCCATTAGTTGTTTTGATTTTCTACCAATCTTCTTTTCTGTGTCAGTGAGTTGATGTGATATTTCTACTGGGTTAGTGTAGCTCATTTCTTATTTAACCATTTCAGATCAAGAGAATCAGGATCCAGAGCCCGATCCATAAAAGAGTTGCGAGTAGGATGCTAGTTTTATTTACTTTCTGTTTATTTCCTTCTTTTTTTTTGTACTTCTTTAAAAAAGATAATTCACGTAACACTATTCGGTATTTTAAATTATTGTGTAAGGAATTTAAACCTTAACTTTTTATTATACTTCCGCACTTAAATTATCATTTATTTTTTTAAAATATTTCTGGGTCATTACACAATTTTTTTATTTTTTTATTATCAGATAATCATAATATAATAATTAATTATAAAAAAATTTAATACAAATTAACAAAATACTAGTATTTATATTAGAATAAAATAAAAGTTATAACTAAATTTAAATTAAAAGATATTTTTATAAATTACGTACCCATAGTCTATTTCTCCGTTAGAAATAGCAGACGTATCTTATCCGTTTAAGAAGCTGAAGATATTTTATCCATTCCCGCCTCGGAGATCCTGCACTACCACTAGCACCACCGGTAGCACAAATGCCTTGGTGCAACCCCTCTGTTCCCCGTCCTTCCCCAATCATCAACTGCCGCGTGTCATTGTGCGCAGCGCGCACACTTCCTCCTCCTTCCTCTCTCCTCCCGCCCACCACCGCTGCCACCACCATCACCCCAACCAACTTGCCCTCGCTAACGTGCGCCCTTCAGTGCCCTCACTTTCAAACGTGCGCATTACCCACCATCCAGCAATCCAAAATTACAGTTCAGCTGCGAAATTGTTTTCCTTAATTAACCTAAAATTTGATTTTGTTGTTAATTCCTCAGGTGCTCCGGTTGTACGCATGAGTTCGATCTCCACCGTCCAGTTGTCGTTGATGAGGCTACTGAGTTCTTCAAGAGCTTCGGCGTCTCTGATTTCACATTTGATAGCTGTAGACTGGTACTCAATTATCTGATTATCCATTCTTGTCATCTTCAAGTTTTGCAAATTTAGTTTCTTCGATTGCGTGGAGTTCTGATTCTCTGCTCCGCGGTTCAGTGGGGATGGCGATGTCGCGCTAAATTGGCCGTTCGCGGATCGTTGGTAAACCCTCTGATTGGACTTTATCAGGAGGGGACGCACAATGTGGTGGATATTCCTCAATGTAAAGGTGTATAGATTATTGTTAATTACTTCTGAATTTGTTTTTTTTTTTCTTTTGATTATGTATTGTGATTATAATCTTGATCTTCCTTCCACAGCTCATCATCCTAATATTAATTCCGCTGTTGAACTACTGAGAAAAGGTAATTCTACCCAGAAAATGGGGGGAAAAGCCATTTCAAAAAGATATTTGCTTCTTAAATCTTCCATTTTTAAGTTTTTGTCTTTTTTCCACCTTTTCTTTTAATAAAGGTATTAAAGAGTTAAATGTAGAGCCATATGATGAAGACGCTGGGACAGGTGATTTGAGATATGTTCAGGTGATTATTGCAGTTAAAGATTACTATAAGCGGAAATTTTATGATTAATTGATCGATCAAATTTTGAAATGTTTTTAGTTTTGTGGTTTTGGTTATGGTTGGTGTCTGCAGATGGCTGTGACAACATATAACACATCCCTCCCCTCCTCAGAAAGATATCAAAATGGTGTACTGTCTAACTCACTGCACTTATTGTTCTAAGTTTGAAACAACCTGATTAAGATTGAAACTTGATTACTTCGAATCTTTGATTCCAGGTAAAGTTCAGGTCTCGTTAGTTTGGAATTCAAGAGATGAGAAATCCCAAAACTCGGACAAGTTAAATGCCTTAGCCAGTGTGAGCTTGCCCTCTCTGTGTTATTGTTGATCTGGTGATTCATTTTGTTCTACTTCAGAAATTAGGTGACATGATTGATTAAGCACTGGTTATCGCAGTTTTTGTGGAGGAATGGCGGATTGAGGAGCAAAGTCCATCTAATTCACTCTGTGTGGGCTAACTTTCAGACGTCAACTAGCAACGTGAGTTAACTAGAAATGAATTTTTAAACAAAAAGATGAACAATGAAAGCATTGTTCCATTGTTGGTCATACGTTTTGTCTATGATGTGCTGAAGATGTAAGGGATTTATTCATTGATAAAAATGGTATTCTTGGAAATGTAGGTTATCAGATTTCGGATTTTTAGAATTTACATTGATGATTGTTAATGCTGGAATAAGCAATTTCTTTGAATAAGAATGTGGTTAAGAGCACTTACAGATTATTGGTTTCACTCCCTGGGTATTTTGTTGACAGGGCATCTTATCCTTAATGTGGAGGATTTGGAGTGCGTATAGATACTTTGGTTTCTGACTTGGTGTAAATCTTTTTGTATATAGGCAGCATCCTCTTGGTGCCTTTTAATGCTATGCCCTTTTTATCTAAAAGAAATGTGATTAAGAGCAATAAAACCTGAAATGAAAGTGAAAATGTTTTGGATCCAGTATTCAGATGTAAGGGTTAGCTCTCACTTCAGATATTTTTGTGACGTGAGTTCAAATTTTATCTTGATTGTGTCTTTCTTCTAACTGCTTCTGAAATTTACTGTTCTACTGATTTTGCAGATAATTTTTGGGAATAGGTGGAGACATCTTTTAGGAGAAAGAGACTTCTGGGAGCATGTTGGGGGGGTTGATATATCCTTGGATCCATCAAGTTTTGGCCAAGCAAACACTCGGGTAGGTGGATATCTACTTAAACAGTTGTTTAATTGGCAATGCACGGTAGGATTTTCATTTCAATTACAATTTTACAAAGATGAAAGTTGGCAGAAGAGCAGCATCATAGTTTTTGTAATGAAATTGTTAGTACATAGCTTCCAGGCTAGCATTGTCATTTCCTGAAAAGGATAGTTCAGATTGTAGGTTCTATGCCCTGCCATCTTCATGCTCAAATATTGGCTTCATTCAATTTCCTGATGCACGGCTAGCTGCAGACTATTTGCAATACATGTATTGTGGTGTGTGCATGCAGCAAGGACTCTATTGGAGAGTCCGGGCTGTTACATGTATAACCTTCTTCCTTTTTGGTTGCAATGACCTCTTTTAATGATACTAATCCAAATGCATCTTGTCAGGCTTTTGATAGCTTGCTCCGGAAATTGCAGAAGTACGTCCCCTATGGATCATCTGTCGGTGATTTATATGCAGGAGCTGGTGTAATTGGAATATCATTAGCTACCACTAGAAAATGCAGGCAAGAACTGGATTAGTTCTACCTCCTCTGCGGTTTAGAAGTCTTTCTTATGTTTATACAGAAGAAATGGTAACATCCAATTTAATTTTTTTAATTGTCTTCCAGGATTGTTAAATGCATTGAAGTTAACAAAGAATCTAAACTATCTTTCGAGAAGACAATTGACCGCCTACCAAGCTCAGTAGATAGCAGCATTAGCTGGCATCATGGAGACACTTCAGTAGTTAGTATTTTGATACTAACATTGTTTGATATTATTTTTCTGATCAACTAATAATCACATGATTGAGAACATGTCTTTTTATAAAAAAATGTCGAACTTTTTGTGACCAATTCACAAGTTCTGCAGGAACCTATGTCTTGGATTATAGGATCAGATGTGGTTGTCGTTGATCCTCCTAGAAAAGGACTGGATCCATCTCTGCTCAATGCATTAAGATCTATATCATCAGCAGAGCATAAAGTTAGATTATCATCCGAAAGGTTGGGTAGTTTGTTGCTGTTATGTAATTGACTAGAAACTTTTGGTGGTTGTATGGAAGCTGTTCGATCTAAGTTTGAAATTTGCAGATACTGACAACTAGTTAATGATTTATTACAGTTCATCAAAAGAGGAAAAGAGACCTTGGATTTTACGTGCAAGGGAGGCTTCAGTTGAATTTAAAGGCAAAACAACTTCAGAGGTCAATAAATCACTGCCTCAAACTCTCATCTACATAAGTTGTGGATGGGAAAGCTTTAAAGAGGTACTTCTACAATTACTTACCATATCCCAACTAACTGGAATACACCCTGTTTTTATTCTTTTGGGAGCAGACTTTCTTTATCTCTAGCTAATTATGCCATAAGCCCTTCAACAGGACTGCAAGGTGTTGTTATCCAGCAAGGAGTGGCACTTAGAAAAGGCCCATGGTTTTAATTTCTTTCCAGGCACCCAGAGGTACTACCTTCCCATGCCTAGATATGAAGTTCTAATGCTCATCGACCGTTATCATTTCTGTTAGAATTAATTTGCACAATGGTTGTTGCAGTATTGAAGTTCTGGCTATATTCAAAAGGAATGATAGAGTCAAGAAAAAGAAATCGGGGAAAAAGAAGCAGAAGCGTTTGTGAGAACTATTTGGCTCTGTGAAGCATTGAATCAAGTACTGGGAGTGCCTTATGGGATCAGGGCATGCTGAGGAGATAAAGGAAAATCTACCAGATGTAAGCTCTATGTTAGTCTGTGAGAAGATAAAACAATGCAACCTGAGCACATTGCATGTAAAGACAATAAAGGAAGAATCTACGAGATGTGAGTTCAATCTGATTTCTGAGGAGAGACACATGAGACCAGAGCATGATTTTGAATGTAAGGAGATAAAAAGAGGATGTACCAGGCTTTCCATAGGCTGAAATTTATGAGAAGAATAGGAGTAGGCATGTGATATTTGTAGGAAACAAGTACGTTTTTCTCTATCATCTCTTCTTTCCAAAAGAGATTTGTTCATTATTGGATGAGATGTGTATTGCAAAAGAATGATTGATTACAAATGGAAAAATGAAGACGTTTATATCAATCTGATATCTATATCTGTTTCCTCTGTGATTCCATGAAAGAATGCAAAACTGAGGTCAAATTGTGGAGGTACAGAAGAAAGATAGCTGCTTCATGAAAAGCCGGTATACCAATTTGAGAATCCAAACAAACTAATTTATCTTTTATCCACTCTTAGGTCTTGCCAGATGAGGAAAAGCTTGCAGAATGTTGTAAGCCCTCAAGTCCTGCCTGGTTAAGATCCCAACCACTGGGGAAGCCTGAAAAAGAATAGTTCATCATGGAATTAATTACTGTATTAATAAGGCAAGGTTCGGAGTAAATTCTGAATTTTATGAAATTCATTTATAAATACAAACTTAATTAGAAACTAGTGAAAGTTTTTAAAATGATTAATAAAATTTGAATGTATTGTTTCTATTTGTGAAAATCATTTCTGATAAATTTAGAAATTTTTATAGTCAAGCTAAATGTAAATTTGCAAATAAACATCACAAATTTTCAAAATTTATTATAAATGCTAAAAAGCTTACCCCTGCAGCTTCATACTTGGGAACAATAAGCAAATGCCTAAGTCCCAATTGCCTGAATAGCACCATTGCTTTGGCCACTGACATGCTTTCCACTACTGTGAAAGGAGTTGTATTGGTCAGAGGATGTAAATCAACATACATCTCCATTTCTTCACTTGTAACACCCACTTCTCTGATGTCCCCTTCCCTCTCAGCTAGCTCAACCCAACTGAATTTCTCCCTAACTTCCCACTCCTCCGTCCTCCTCTTCTCGGGCAAGAACCATTTCTTCTTCAGCACTTGAATAAGATGAGCTCTCAGTATCAGTCCATGAAGCTCTCTTGCATCAATAGGCAGCCCCATTGATGGCACCACTCCTTCATCAACAACAGGGAAGCCATTATGTGTAGTGTTCTTGAGGACCTCAACAATTCGAGACACCTTTTCCACTCCGTGGAGGGTTACAACTGGAGGCTTTGCATCAGCAAGCTCACCAACAGTGAGATTCCTCATCCATGGCTCAGGATTTGCATCTAAGAAAGGCAAGCCTTTTAGATGCAATATGATTTCGTATATGCTTGGATTGAAACTATCTCCGACTGTTTTGGCTATTAGGAGGACAATCATTGTAATGGGTAGCAAGAGAAGGTTGTTGGTGAGCTCAAGGAATATGACACAAAGAGAAACAGTCATCCTCATTGAGCCAGCCATGAGAGAGGCTGCACCAAGAACAGCGTACAGTCCTTGATCAATGTTGGTGTAGGACCCCATGGCCACACCAAGAACTCGGCCATAAGCTGAGCCCATTAGGATGATGGGGAGGAAGAGACCAGAAGGCACCGCAATACCGAAGGTAATGAGTCCTAAAATACAGTAGACTGCAAAGAATATCATGAGGGAGGCAAGCTGAAATTCCTTAGGAGTGTTTGAAGAGAAGATGTTTCGGACAGCATCATCATTTGTGGTGAGGAGGAGAGTAGCTAGATCGTTGTAATAACCATCTGGGCAATTGAATTGTTTGAAGTTGCCAGAACGTCCGTTGGTAGGGCAAGCCTCGGAAACAGATGGATCACAAGCTCTGCATGTAGCTAAGAAAGGGAGACAGTATAGGCAAACTGAGGTGAAGACCGAGACACTGAGACTGAGAAGTAACTTGTGAAGTTTTCCTTTCCTGCAGAGAAAAACCGACAAAAAAAAAAAACAAATGGAAGTGATTACTACAAGAGGTATTAACCAGGTGACTCAGACTCAAACGTTATACCAGATATTCAGTCATTCTTAAACTTGAAATTTAGATCAATCTGATCTATCATATTAGGTTCAAAACTAGGAACTTATAACACAACTAGAGATCTTTGTCCGGAAACTTGCATCACTCTGCTTCATACTTCACGTATTCTAGCTATAAGTTTATATCTTTTACAGGCAAATTCTTGATTCTTTCTGTCCACTGAAGCATGTATGTAAGCAAAGAGAAAGATGTTTGGTTAGGCTGCTTACTGATTGATAAGATTGTAGACCCTGAGGACTTTGTAAAGAAGGTAATTGTAAAGGCTTCCAAGAACTCCACCAAGAATGCCAATGACAATCACAGGAATAATATCCATCACATGGTATGAAACTTTGACATCACTCACATCAAACATGATAAGCCCTCCTCTTCCGAAAAGCCCACATTTCCCAGAATTACAGGTTTCAATGAATGCTCTGAGCACCACCACCACTACTGCTGTGCTAAAGAAGGTTCTCCAAAGCAAAGCACTCCTCCACCAGGTAGCTACCTCTTCAAGGGCAAATAAGACACCACCTACTGGGGCACGGAAAGCAGCACAAACCCCAGATGAGGAGCCGCAGGTGATGAGATCCCTGCGGTCTCTATCATTGTTGAAGTAGCGTAGCCAACGCCACTTGATGCGGTGATTATCAGGGCCACCTTGGCCAAGTAAAGAAGCAATGCAACTGCCAATGTGCACCAAAGGCCCTTCTTTTCCAAGATCAAGTCCAGCAGAAACAGCTCCAATGCTGCCTATTATCTATAACAGTACAAACTAAATATTTAATGAACAGAGACAAAAGTGAAAGAACTGTCACTTTTTTGGAATTGTTTCTTCTCTGAGAAACATCGATATTTTTACTTTTCCAGATACAGCAAAAGGTTCCAAGAATATTCCTTACAGTTATCCCTAATCAATTATTAAACAAAAAGAAACACCAGAAAAGACAAAAGCAACCCAGAATTAATAATTAATTAAACTTCTAATTTCACCGTAGAACTTAATCAAGTAAAATTTTTTGTAGTTGGATCATGATCACTGATCTTTTCCTGATAAAACCCAAAAATCTGCTTGACACCCTCAAGCCAAAACCAGGTCAACCAATAAGTTTCAATTCTCAGGACAAGATCCAATCAGATTAAATCCATGAAGATCTTCCAGGATTAAAAGAAATGGGTAAGTTTCGAGCATTGATTACATGATTACCCATCTGGGTCATGACAATAAGCAATCAAAAAATAAAATCAATCTCACCTTGACAATCAAAGTTGTAGCACCAAACATGTTTGGAGTATCTACTCCATTGAGATAGGCTTTGATTTCAGGAATACCAGGTCCAGCGGCTGTGGGCGCAAAGCACACGCAGAGAACAGCAGCAACCAGTGTCAAGACAAAATTTGCCCCAGTGAAATAGATTAACCCCATCAAGTACCTGGCACATAACCAAGGATGAATTTGGATAAGGGCATAATCCTAATCCAATCAAAGTTGCAGAAGAAATAGCCACTGATGGAGCAAGTAAAAGACCCAGAAGTTTGATATACATACAAATAAAATATAATAAATATGTGTGTATATATACCTTCCTTTCTCAATGAAATGAATGACTGCAAGAAGCTTGTAGCCTGCAATATTCTCAACTGCAAGATTGATGAGAGTGGCAATCAAGCCAGTCAAGAGACCAACAAGAAAGGCCAGACTCCATTTCAGGAACACATACTGCAAAACTTGTACTCTGGATCTGCTTCTCCAATCATGTTTGAAAAGATCATTTTCATTTATCCTGCATCAAACCCACTTCAATTCTCAATCAACAGCAACAGAAAATAAATAAATAAGCTCATATACATGCATATATGCACATATGTATAGAATCTAAGAACAAATATTCATTTATCTTACTCATAATCTAAGCTCTCAATATGGGAAACCTTGGCACCAACCAAGGCCAATGGATTTGCAGAAAGAGTTCTGTTTCTCTTGAGGAGTGGCTGATGCAAAGAATTGGTTTCTGGATCTCTTTCTTCTTCCCCAGCTTCACCTCCCATGTTTTGATTCCGGATCACCATCGTTGATGCTCCATTACCCAACTGAGCTAAACTCGAATCTTCCTCCATTAAAGCGCAAAAAAAGCTTAGCAGAAGTTGCAGAGACTCCCTTTATTGATTTAACAAGAAGCAAATGACAGCTACTATCCCTTTTGTACTACTTGTTTGCACAACAATCATTCACCCAAAAGTGTCCCTCTCCAGTTTGTCTTTGCTCGGGAGTGTATATATATATATATGCACACACGAGGAAATAATCAGTATACAGATGTTATTCTTAGTGTCTTCTTCCCCATATAAATCTGTATTTGACAACAGTGACCATGTTTGGTTGCCGAGAAATGGGAAGAAAATGTAAATTATTTAATGGAGAGAAGAAGTTCGATTTGGTCCCCTTTGGAGCTTTCGTAATAAATATTCAATTTAAAGGATCCTCCTACTGCCATCACGAGATGAGTATTAATCTAGAAGCAAGAACTTGGAGAAGGAAACAAGCTTCGTTTATCCCTTCCAAGATTATTAAAAGGATTAGGCACGTATTAAAGCAAATGATTTGTGAGTTGCATTTGGAAAAATAAAATAAAATTATTATTTTTACCAAGAAAATAATTTTGATAAACAAAAATTATCTAAAAATATTAAGTGGCAATATATTTTTGTCTTAAAAAACTAATTTACAAGTTTTGATTTTTTTTTTAAAACATATTCCTCTTAATACGATGTTTAAGAATATTAAAAATGTTCTTATTTCAATCTATATCAGTTCAAAATCATAAATTAATTTTTACCGTTTAACTTACTCTAATATTTCCTGTCACCTTAGTACACCCTATTCTTACATTATAAAAATATATAATTGTTAAATTTTATATAAAAATTTAAGTTTCACGTATCAATAACTCGAGTTTAACCTTCTTAAAGCAAGTAATCTTAATTCTAAAGATTGTTGGATCATTGGTGTTTATGGCAAAAATTTTACGTATGATTTATAACGAAGCACGTTTTAATTTAGTGATTTCGTCTGATACAATTTCATATCTTAT